ATGCTGCAGTTATGGTGTATTAAATGTCCTTGATACAATGCCACAATTCTACAGGTTAAGAACCTGACTGAAGAGATGGCAGCTTTGGATGAGATTATCGCTAAGCTGACCAAGGAGAAGAAAGCTCTACAGGAGGCCCATCAGCAAACACTGGACGACCTCCAGAGTGAGGAAGACAAAGTCAACACACTCACCAAAGCCAAAGCCAAGCTGGAGCAGCAAGTGGATGATGTGGGTAGTTTTACATTGTGTAATATATAAATGAAACAGGAATGACATTTGATGAAATGTTGAACAAAATATTGTCTTTCCAGCTCGAAGGTTCCCTGGAACAGGAAAAGAAGCTTCGTATGGATCTGGAAAGGGCAAAGAGGAAGCTGGAGGGAGACTTAAAGTTGACCCAAGAGAGTGTGATGGACCTGGAAAATGACAAACAACAACTGGAAGAGAGACTTAAAAAGTGGGTTTTAACAAAGGGTGAAATAATTCTTAAAGAATACAATATGCCATCTGAATTTTTGATGTGGTAACTAAGTGATAATAAAATATTTTTTTTAACACAGGAAGGACTTTGAGATTAGCCAACTCAGTAGCAAAATTGAAGATGAGCAGGCAATGGCAGCCCAACTCCAGAAGAAACTGAAGGAGCTGCAGGTAAAGTTCTTAATTCCTAACAAGAAACAGATGGATAACTAGGACCTCTAGCTGTAACGTTGATTTTCCTCAATATCAGGCCCGAATTGAGGAGCTTGAGGAAGAGCTGGAGGCTGAGAGAGCTGCTCGTGCCAAAGTTGAGAAACAGAGAGCCGATCTGTCCAGAGAACTGGAGGAGATCAGCGAGAGGTTGGAGGAGGCTGGTGGAGCCACGGCTGCCCAGATCGAGATGAACAAGAAACGTGAAGCTGAGTTCCAGAAACTGCGCAGAGACCTTGAAGAGGCCACTCTGCAGCATGAGGCCACAGCTTCTACCCTGAGGAAGAAACATGCCGACAGTGTGTCTGATCTGGGAGAGCAGATCGACAACCTTCAGAGAGTCAAGCAGAAGCTGGAGAAAGAGAAGAGCGAACTCAGACTGGAACTGGACGATGTGGTCTCCAACATGGAGCAGATTGCCAAGGCCAAGGTAATGAATTTTTGCTTGTATTTTTGGATTTGTAGTTGTATTTTGAAATCCAGGTTCTTAAACGTTTTATTTATCCACTATCAACTTTCTTGCATTTAATATCTATCCAGGCAAATTTAGAGAAGATGTGCAGGACCCTTGAGGACCAGATGTCAGAATACAGAACAAAATATGAAGAAGGGCAACGCAGCATTAATGATTTCACAATGAAAAAAGCTAAGCTGCAAACTGAGAATGGTATGTACTATGATAAGGTATTACTTTATTTTGTGCCTAAGATTAAACACTGCTTTTTGTAATGTAATGATTGTACTTCTTTCAAGGGGAGCTTTCTAGACAGCTGGAAGAGAAAGATTCATTGGTCTCTCAGCTAACCAGAGGCAAGCAGTCCTACACCCAGCAGATTGAGGACCTCAAGAGACAACTTGAGGAGGAAGTCAAGGTTTATTTGATTTATTTTTTATTCTATTTTTGCAACCATCATCTATTGCATTGCAGTGTATAGTCTTAACTGGACATTTCCAATCCTCATAGGCAAAGAATGCCCTGGCACATGCAGTTCAGTCTGCTCGTCATGATGCTGAATTGTTGAGGGAGCAATATGAAGAGGAGCAGGAAGCCAAAGCTGAGCTGCAGCGTAGTCTGTCCAAGGCAAACTCTGAAGTGGCTCAGTGGAGAACCAAGTATGAAACTGATGCCATCCAGAGGACTGAGGAGCTGGAGGATGCCAAGTATGAATAAGAAAACACTAACAGACCTGCAAAAATAATCTAAGCATAGATCAATCTCTGTAAATAAAAAAATGTTAATCATTTTGATTGATTGATTTCAGGAAGAAGCTGGCTCAGCGTCTGCAAGATGCAGAAGAGGCTGTGGAAGCTGTTAATGCTAAATGCTCCTCTCTGGAGAAGACCAAGCACAGGCTCCAGAATGAGATTGAAGATCTTATGGTGGACGTGGAGAGATCCAATGCTGCTGCTGCTGCTCTGGACAAGAAGCAAAGAAACTTTGACAAGGTGAACAAAAAACTGAGTGTTGAATAAAGTACCAATTGAGAACCATCAGCAGATGTTTAAAGCTTCTTTAAATAACAAACAGGTCCTAGCTGAGTGGAAGCAGAAGTATGAGGAGTCTCAGAGTGAGCTGGAAAGCTCCCAGAAGGAAGCCAGATCTCTGAGCACTGAACTGTTCAAGCTGAAGAACTCCTATGAGGAGTCTCTGGATCATTTGGAGAGCATGAAGAGAGAAAACAAGAACCTCCAAGGTTTCTTATTTGGACACAGACATACATTTCATTAAACTGAAACACTTCACTTAAATTTCGTGTTTTAACTAGTATAACATTTCTTAACAAACAGAGGAGATTGCTGATCTTACTGAACAAATTGGTGAGTCTGGAAAGAACATACATGAACTGGAGAAAATGCGTAAGCAGTTGGAGCAGGAAAAGGCTGAAATTCAAACTGCTCTGGAGGAAGCTGAGGTGTGTATTGTGTAGCGTTCAACTTTCTTTCGCCAACATAATTGATATTCATGGGCTGAAAAAGTCTTGATTAAACATTTTCACCAACTGACAGGGCTCTCTTGAACACGAGGAAGGCAAGATCCTCAGAGCTCAACTAGAGTTCAATCAGGTCAAAGCTGACATTGAGCGTAAGCTGGCTGAGAAAGATGAAGAGATGGAGCAGGCCAAGAGGAACCAGCAGAGAATGATTGATACCCTGCAGAGCTCACTGGAATCAGAGACTCGCAGCAGGAATGAAGCTCTCAGACTGAAGAAGAAGATGGAGGGAGACCTCAATGAGATGGAGATTCAGCTCAGCCAGGCTAACAGGCAGGCATCAGAAGCCCAGAAGCAACTCAAGGGTCTTCATGGACATCTCAAAGTATGAAGTGTCTTCATATCAAGATCTTATGATCCCTAACCCTAAAATTCAGAATAGCATTAATTTGTGAGCTTGTATTTGTAGGATGCCCAACTGCAGCTGGATGACGCTCTGCGTGGCAATGATGATCTCAAAGAGAACATCGCCATTGTGGAGAGACGCAACAATCTGCTGCAGGCTGAACTGGATGAGCTGAGATCCCTGGTGGAACAGACTGAGAGAGGAAGGAAACTGGCTGAGCAGGAACTGATGGACGTCAGTGAAAGAGTTCAGCTCCTGCATTCTCAGGTATGACACACCTGTATTAGTAAACTTCTTCTATTACACAACATCATCTGCAGACTTAATGAATGTCAACACTGTCCATGTTCAGAACACCAGCCTGCTGAATCAGAAGAAGAAGCTGGAGGGAGATAATACTCAGCTTCAGACTGAGGTTGAGGAGGCAGTGCAGGAGTGCAGGAATGCTGAGGAAAAGGCCAAGAAGGCCATCACTGATGCTGCCATGATGGCAGAGGAGCTGAAGAAGGAGCAGGACACCAGTGCTCATCTGGAGCGCATGAAGAAGAACATGGAGCAGACCATCAAGGACCTGCAGCACCGTCTGGATGAAGCTGAGCAGATCGCCATGAAGGGAGGGAAGAAGCAGGTCCAGAAACTGGAAGTCAGGGTAAGCAATTGTTTATTTTCTTACTTGTAATTAAAATAATAACTTTGCTTGACTAGTTTAGTTTCTTGCACATCTCATAGGTCAGAGAGCTGGAAAGTGAGGTGGAGATGGAACAGAGAAAGGCGAGCGAGTCTGTAAAAGGAGTCCGTAAATATGAGAGGCGCATTAAGGAGCTCACCTACCAGGTAGGAAAAACTTACCAACAATTTTGTCCTTGCTTGATATGATCATTTTATTCTTTGAAAACGTTGTATTCAACATAAATTAAAACATGTTGTATGTTTCCACAGACTGAGGAAGACCGTAAGAATCTGGCTCGTCTTCAAGATCTGGTGGACAAACTGCAGCTGAAGGTCAAGTCCTACAAGAGAGCTGCTGAAGAGGCTGTGAGTGTTTTTTTTCCACCTATCGGTGCCATCATACATTAATTTATGTGCCTAATTGTGATTTTCACAAATACTCTTGTTTGTATCCTATAGGAGGAACAGGCCAATTCTAACCTGGGCAAGTTCCGTAAGCTGCAGCATGAGCTGGACGAGGCAGAGGAGAGGGCTGATATTGCTGAATCTCAGGTCAACAAACTGAGAGCCAAGAGCCGTGATACAGGATCCAAGGTATTTGATTGTTATCAATGTTAAATGACTTCTCTGACTGTTAAACATCAAACAAATCACTACATAAATCACAGGAACAATCCAACGCAATCTCACGGCAATTCGTAACTTTTTGATTTAGTCGCTAATTTGTATGAATTCGTACGATCTAATTCATACTATTTAGTACGATTTGCTCATCACCCAATTACGGTTGGGGTTAGGGGTGGTGTTGGGTGCCACGCCACCTTTATAAAATTGTAAATTTTTTAGCCACTAAACTGACAAAAAGTAAAATACTTACGTTTTCTCGTGGGATCAGGCTGGAACAATCATACTGTGGAGACCTACCTCAATCACAAAGCCTTTTTTATTTAAATCAGCAAGAAAGCAATCTTAAAGGGACAGTATACCCAAATTTGATAGTTTCCTGGTAATTTACTCATACTCAAGAGGTTCTATTATATTATGCTTTATACTAACATATTATGACTTTCTTTCTTTTGTTGAGCACAAAACATGAGATTCTGAAGATTCTTGGAAAAAAGCAGCCATTGACATCCATGTTAGAAATAAAACATACTATGGAAATCAATGGCTGTTTTTTTTGTTTAAACATGATTTAAAATATATTTGTTTGAGTAAGAAAGGTAAACCGGTTTGGAACAATAGAGAATGAGTAAATGATGAATTTTAATTATTGGGTGAACTATTCCTTTACTCAAATATAATCATGAGTAAATAGCACATTTTGTAAAAAGTCGAGGATTAATCTTACGTTTGTTTCTCCCTTGAACAGAAAGGACATGATGAGGAATGAAGCTCTCCCATCTCTCTAACTCTGGTGTGAATCTCTCTTTGAATCTCATTAGTCTGTAGACCAATAGAATAAAAGCAATGTGCAAATGAAACTTCTGCAGCACTGTCATTTAAAACACAATTACAAAATAAGAGTGCAAACACTGGCTAAAGATTCACATTAATAAAAGAATGTTTCGAGAGGGTCAAAATATGGTGTACAGTAGTAATGAAAATAAAAAATGTCTGCAATGAAATTCACATAATAGAAAGTAAAATCAACAATAATTCAGTTTATTCTCCCCAAAATGTAACTACCACTAACTCTTAGCACAGGTTAATAAAAAGGTCAGACCACTGACACACTCATTCATTTATTTTCGGCTTAGTCCCTTTATTAATCGGGGGTTGCCACTGTGGAATGAACTGCCAACTTTTCCAGCATATGTTTTACGCATCGTATTCCAGCCGCAACCCAACACTGGGAAACACCCATACACTTTTGCATTCACACACATACACTACGGCCAATTTAGCTTTTAAATTCCCCTATAGCGCATGTGTTTGAACTGTGGGAGAAACCGGAGCACCCAGTGAAAACCCTCGCCAATACAGGGAGAACATGCAAACTCCACACAGAAATGCCATCTGACCCAGCCGGGGCTCGAACTAGTGACCTTCTTGCAGTGAGACGATCGTGCTACCTACTGCGCCACTGAGACCCCCCCTCCCCCCAACATACTGCACACAATAAAATATACAGTCAAGTGACTAATACACTGCTGACTTTTTCCAAAATGGAAATAAAAATCAATTCTAGCATCAACATTAGATTTTTGAAGCTTTGTGCTATTGAAAACATAAACAAACAAGGCGAGGGTCAAAAACACGGCAAAGCAAAGTTCACAATACTGTTTACAAGACTCAACAATGACAGTGTCAAAGAGACACACCTTTACACACACCTTGATGAGTCTGAGAAAATCAAAATATGCATCTCAGCTCTTAGAACTACATGCAGGGTTTATACACATTTTTGCTAAAAAATTCCATGACTCTCCAGGGACAAGTCAATTTTCATGACCGAATGTTTCATGTAATGTCTACATATATGCGGTAAATCATAAGAAACGTTTCAATTTAATAGAGCACATCATAAAACACGCAATAGTTTCAATTTATTTTTATATCTATGTAAAATAGATGATGCTTAAACATCACTGATAATGTGAGACCATGTTTTGGCCAAGAAAAGAAAAGAAGTAAAAAAATCCAACCTCCATTCCAATATACAGATATTTGTCAAACAAATTTTAGATGATGATAATACTTTGTTAAACTGCTTCTATTGTAAAGCTGCGATCACACTGCACTTTTCACTCCATAAACTTCCATTCATGGGTATGCGAATACGGCAGACCAGAAACACAAGCACCTTGTGTACCTGTGTAATCACATAAGGTAATTGCGTGAGACCAATAGAAGATCATTTAAAATGAGAAATTTAAAATATGGAGCAATCGCTCACTTTTATTACCGTGTAATCATATTGTTTAACCCCGCCCATTTCGTAGCGCCGTACGACAGAATTTCGCAAGCATAAGCTCTAGTGTGACCGCAGCTTAAGTCACTTTGGACAAAAACGTCTGCTAAATGACTAAATGTAAATGTAATTTCCATGACTTTTCCGAAACCTTTTGGGTTTTTCTGTTTTTCCAAAACTTTTCCAGGCCTGGAAAACACCATGTCAAAATTCAATGACTTTTCCAGGTTTTCCATGACCATATGAACCCTGTACATGGAGTAAATAAAAACCAATACTGTGTATTATTTATACACCATTGAATGTGGTTAGGGCAAAGCAGTGGCGCAGTAGGTAGTGCTGTTGCCTCACAGCAAGAAGGTAGCTGGGTCGCTGTTCGGTCCTCGGCTCAGAGCGTCTCTGTGTGGAGTTTGCATGTTCTCCCTGCATTCGCGTGGGTTTCCTCCGGGTGCTCCGGTTTCCCCCAAATGAGTGTGTGTATGAATAAGTGTGTGGATGTTTCCCAGAGATGGGTTGCCGCTGGAAGGGCATCCGCTGCGTAAAAACGCGCTGAATAAGTTGGCGATTCATTCCGCTCTAGCGACCCCAGATTAATAAAGGGTCTAAGCCGACAAGAAAATGAATGAGTGAATGAATGAGTGTGGTTATAAAGGAAGTCAGTGAAGGCTGTGACGTACAGGTTCATGTTGTAAAGCAGAAACAGCCACCGATAGTGAATTAGGGAGAAATAATGATAATCTGACAATGCATCAAAGTCAACGTTGTTAGTAATCATTCACACGTGCAAGACTGTGATAAAAGGTTTAAATAATCCAGTCCACAATTACTTTTCATATAAAAATTGCATCATTTTAAGTGTTTTTGTCACCAAATCTGTGACATCATTTGTGAACTTGGCAATTAAAATCCTGCAATTTTGTAAGTTTCATATATATATTATAGATATATATCAGGGTTCAACGCTAAGGATTTTTCCTACTGGTCTGATTGGGCCAGTGGTTCAGAATTTTACTTGCCCTACCAAAATTTTCACTGGTCCCACCAAAAACAAAAGGGAAGTAAATAGCTATTTTTAGCCGCATATTTTAAATATTGTGTCAAAAATAAAGTCTGTGAATCTTGAATTTCAATACTTAAAAAAAATTTAATAAAAGTGTTTTGCAAACAAAAAGAGCAGAGGAAAATGTGCAGGCATTTTATTGCGGTTCAAAATTATTTAACAAAAGGTGGCTGACTTGTCCAACTGACAGCAAACTTTGCAAAACATCACTTCATTTTTTTTGTCATGTTGTTCACACGAAAATGTCTGTTTCCAAGACTTTAGAAACAGACATTTTCTTTTAGCCTTGTAATTTGATGTTGCCATTTCTTCGCTGTACAGGTTGTCACCAGGTTACGGAAGAAAATAGCATGCTCAAAACATCAAATCAGAAAAGAGGAACCAGAAAGCATTATGGTGTTTACAATCCCAGAGAAGGTAGTCCTTAAAGACTTAAAAGCACAAACCTAAAATGCACGCAATTGACAAATAGTCGCAGACAAATTAAATGTTAGTGACAAGGCAGCACTGTCCCAATCGGGCCAGTAATGATCCTGTCGACTGCCCCAAGCGTCTCTTACGCTGCCCCTGGGCCACCGGGCAGTCTATATTGTTTAGCCCAGTATATGTATATTAGTATATAGTAGTATATAGTATTAGTGTGTGTGTGTGTGTGTGTGTGTGTGTGTATATATATATATATATATATATATATATATATATATATATATATATATATATATATATATATATATATATATATATATATTGGTATATTTATAATCATTTCAAAAGGGGAGCACATTTGAACAGTGCACAAGGGTTAAGTAAAAATGTCTGCAATGAAGTCAAGATAATATTCAGTAAAATCAACAGTAATTCTTCCAAAATGTCCACTAACTCATATAAAAGGTCAATAAAAAGGCCAGACCCTTAACAAACTACACATGCTAAAATATCAATACAATCAAAATAAAACTTAACAAATATCCCGTTGACTTACCACATCCAGTGGTCCCATCACACAGAATTAAAGCTGAATTCTAGCATGTTTCGCAAGAGCTGAACCATCCAGTACAGAAGTAGTCAGTGTGTAGGAGGGATTTGCTGTAGCTCAAGACGATGCTTTGGCTCCAACAGATGTGTTGAATAAAGGAGGAGTCGAGGTCGGGAGGGTGTTGCTCAACTCTTGGAAGGATGAAGAAAGTGTGACAATTCTAACACTTGTCACTTGTGCTATATTAAGGGCTCCATAAAGCTTAGCACATTCTATATATGACAGGAGCCCATGACGCACATAAAACATCTTTAAAGGGCGTAAAGTATAGCTTGACAATGGCCATTCTTCATAGACACACATGCAGAGTGATGAATTGTAGCCAATGTGTGTTCAGTGAAAGGCAGCATTGGCTCTTGAGAGTTCAAGGTGGTTGAACAATACGTCAATTATGGCATTGTTCTCCCTCAATAGGTCATGTAACTTAAGAAGTACTGTAAGAGCATGCAAGTGATGGACGTCTACAGATGAGACTTGTCCTACATGCTGTGTCTCCGAGCATAACACAGCCATAAATGATCAGTTCATCGCAGAGGGACTCTCAAAGGAATTTAACAGGTTATCTTTGTCCTCAAGGCTAGAGTAAAGGAAACAATGCCTTGTAAACAAGACACCTTGAAGGGTGAGGGACAGCGACAGACATCAACTGCACTGTGTGGAAAATTACATGGGTGCTGTCTGTCAAGTTTTCAGCAGGGGAAAACATATACTGGTGCCTTTTTGTATTGAGATATAATAAAAATATATGTTGCACAGTTTTTATTATTGCATAATTAAAATGAAATTGTTTTGGTTACAAAGAATAGCTCTAAAAGGCTTATATGAACTTGTGCACATATACTGGATGTGCTAATCTGATAATGTGACGAGGATCAGGACAACTGCAGTTTGCATTTACCATCACCAGAGGGTGTCATTTGGTGATCCACCAGATCAAAATACTGAGCATCATATGATGGTTGCAACCCTGAGACCAGTAGTTCCATGCATATACAGTATTTATTAATCATATGATTAAAATGATATGACAAAAAAAAACATAAAAAGTTTAATTTTAAGGAGTGGCATATTATATTACACATTTGTTTTGTTGTGCTTTCTACTGTAATTGTATGTGTGTGTGTATATAATATATATATATATATATATATATATATATATATATATATATATACTGATAGCCATGATATATTTAAGTGATATCAGCAGCACCCGTGCAGCCTCTTTACCCTTTGTGTATTACTCCGCCCACATACAGCCAGCAAAAAGCAGACACTACAGATCTAAAGTTTAAAAGATGCTTGCTCAGCTGTCTACCGGTCAAAAGTTTGGGGGTAGTAGGATTTTTAAATAATTTAAAAAAAGCTTCACCTGCCCAACAAGGATGCATTTACTTAATCAGAAATACAGTCCACATTGTAAAATTGTGAAATATTATTGCACTATAAAATAACTGTTCAAAAGTATATAGTTTACAATCTAATTTAATAATTTCTTCCAGTGATTTTAATGATGCATTTTCAGCTTCAGCCTTCAGTCACATGATCCTTCAAAAATTACTCTAATATTAATTGTTGTAGTTAATGTTATTATGAATATAATTATTATTATAATAGTGATAAAAGCAGTAATGACTGGACTAATAATTTCATTTGAAACTGCATACAATAAGTAATAAATACAAAAAAATAAATACTGAACAATTTAACTTTTTTACATTTAATAAATGCAGCCTTGATGAACAGAATAGTGATATTTAAATTATTTTAAAAAAATAATAATAAATACTGACCCTAAACATTTAATAGTATTTAAATTTTAAAATACAGACAATGCTGACTTTATATTAACCTTAACCTTATAGTTAATTAACTTTGTATTAAAAGTAATAATTTTGTTGTCATTTAAACAAATATTTGTACAATTGGTATTGATTGGAAATTTAAGATACAGTACCCAAATATATGATTATTAGCAACCAACTGAAATACAAATTTGTAGCTTTTATTAAGCGACAAGATCCACCTATACATCTGACTAATCACAATACAGGCAAATGACATACAGGCTCATGTTTGGATTTCACATATATAAATGATATGTTGTGGCAGCATGGTGGTTCAGTGGTTAGCACTGTTGCCTCAAAGGACGCTGGTTTGAGTACCGGCTGGGCATTTTTGTGTGGAGTTTGCATGTTGTCCCCGGGTGCTCCAGTTACCCTGACATGCGCTGTAAGTGAATTGAATAAACTAAACTGGCCATAGTGTATCAGTCTGTGTGTGTGAATGTAAGAGTGTATGGGTGTTTCCCAGTAGCGGGTTGCGGCTGGAAAGGCATCAGCTGCATAAAAGATATTCTGGAATAGTTGGTGGTTCATTCTGCTGTAGTAAACCCTAATAAACAAGGGACTTAGCCGAAGGAAATGAAAATAATATATGTCATATGTGCAACATATGTCAACGTATTGCAAACATGGTGTTGGTTTCAACCATTGTAATTACAAATATGTACACCCATGATCATGTAGCCATAATTTTATGTTCATATACATCACATTTCTAAATAGGCATCCATGCTTACTACGACATGTTAACCTGCTCCTGTTGAATTTATTGAATGCGCAGAAGATGGTTCATTTAATAAATGACAAACTTTGAAATCTGATTTGTAGTAACTGCATGGTCTAAAGCAGCAGAAGAAAGGTAGTAGGGCAGCACAATATTTAAATCTGACATTGCAATATTTTGTTTTGCTGCAATATACATTGTGATATGAATATAATTTCACCAGATGATTTGAATAGTTCAATTTGGAAAGGTTGGGTTAATTTAGATCAACTGGGACAATCAAGTCTTTCTCCATGCTGTGCATCTTAATAAAATATAACAAATTACAAGCCTATATAGACAGAGCAAAAAATAAACGTTATTCAATACAGAAATTGAACAATCAAACATAAAATAACATGATCATCATCGTATAAATAGGTTAATAAATGAAAATATTTAATAAATAATCTAATCCTGCGATGTGACTATTGTGGATAGACACACTGTGTGATATCATTGCTCAAGTGGTATTTTGTTCAGTCCGAACAGGACGTCCAGACACAATGTGCTCCTGTTTAACCCAGCAGATGCTTTTATGACAGTGTGCCCACTGACAGAAGGAAGCTCACATTACAAATTTCATTTGCCATAAGGTGCCTCGGTTTCTTCCATTATTACTCTTGAGTGTTGATAAACCAGGGTGAGCAGACAGCTGAGAATGAGGCTCAGTGAAGGATGAGGGGACTAGAATAGACTGTCCAAGTGTTAAGACTAAGTAAGGTGCTTGTTGAGAGGGTGCAGAATAACTGGGGGATGAGAGGTCAAGGCAGGACCCAAACCTCACAAAAGGTCTTGAGTGACGGCTCACGCGGCTCCTCCACAAATCAACACTGCAGAGCTGACACTGCGTTAACACTGTATAGAGACACATCTGAGGCTAAGACTGTTAGTTTGACCTGCTCACCATGTTCTTCCTGTTAAGATGGAGCAATTAAAACAGACAGGCTGCTCGGCATTACCTTGTGCAAAAAGAGACTCGGTGCTGTAATATATTCAGGATACATTCACTTATGTAACTCATCTCTAATAACTGATTTCTTTTCTCTTTGCCATGATGACAGCACATAATATTAGATTAGATATTTTGCAGGATACTAGTATTCAGCTTAAAGTGACATTTAAAGGCTTTATTAGGTTTATTAGATTAGACAAGTCATTAGGGAAAAATAACATTCTTATAGGGGCTAAGAATATTGACCTTGAGGGAAAAAAAAAAACATACATAAAAAATATACATACATACATACAAACATACATACATGCACACATATATATATATATATATATATATATATATATATATATATATATATATATATATGCTCAAGCTGCGATGCAATTGTTGTTTGCTAGTTTCAGCTTGCCGCAAGTGTCATTTTGCGCTACGCTGTTTAAATAGCAAATGCATTTGCGCTTATATGTGCGGCCATAGGCGTTCTGGTCTAAAAAGGAAGGAGTGTTGAGGTGTATTGCTGGTGCGTTGCTATTTTGAGAAACTATAATAGATTTTTCATAAGACCAGAACAAAGCCGGTCTATTGTCCAGCGCAGAGCGCAATGATTGTGCGCCTCGCTTACACACTGCTTAATACACACAAGATGTAGAGCAATACACAAGTATCTTTACATATGAAAAATAATTTAAATATTAAGGATATAATAAGGATATATCTAGGATATAAATATAAAGGATTAAAATATTACAAAATATATTATTTTCTAGCCTACATAAATATAAAAACCACTGCCTTCATGTCTTCTTCATCTCTGGAGGCTTTTTCAGTTCATTCATAACCATTTGCTTTTGTATAATGTTATTATTATTAGCAGTATTATTTATTATATCCATATTTATACTTGTTTTATTGGAAACAAGCTTAGATTTGTCCACCTGTCAGGTTTTAGACCATATGGGGCACAGCATGTGTGTTTGGATATAACTCAGTTTTTTGAGCACACTTTGTTATTATTGTTCATTTATTCGTTTGCTGGAAATTAGAACTGAATTTAGAAACAGTTTTGAAACAAATATTTGCGCTTAACAAACTAAATTAAATATTTATAGACTAATTGATGTCTGTGTGTACAAGGTTTCCCTATCCATGAGACTGAAAGTGAAAGTAGATCATTTATCTCTCATTCTCGCGCTGTAGATGCTCTGTTTATCTGTCTTCTTGCTAATAAAACACTCCGTTTTTTCACTTACACTTACTTTACATCATGTAAATAGCAAATGCGCCATGACGCGACACAACTGACTCTTAAAGGGAATGGGAGATGAGATTGGTTTGTTCTCAAAACACACCTATAACTCATTAAAAAATAAACTCAACCCTTTTAGACCATGCACCATGGCGCAAAGCGCATTTTTCCGTCCTTATATTAGCAAAAGTGGATTCTGACACGCCCTGAATGAGTTTGAGCCCTGTGCTTTGCATTCTGAGCATGGACCGTCAAAATAGAGCCCTTAGACTTGCTCCAGAAGTGAAAATAATCTATATATAGGAAATACTGTAGAGATTTCCTTGCTTAAGGAAAATTAAGCTCACTTAATTTCCTTGCACTTGTGATATATTTGAAAACAGGCTAATAATTTTGCCTTCAACTGTAGGAAACTGCACCGTTTCAAGCATTTGTTTTGAAAATCATCAAAAAAACTTGAGAAATAGGTTTTAATGATTGAACATGACCTTTCTATGATCTGTCACACAGTAACTGTGACTAAATTACTGAAAAAGTAAGGGATTACTGTAAATATTTAGGTAATCTTATAATCTTATAATGTCCTTGCCCTAAATACTGAATTCAACAGTTTTGTCTTAGTCATTTCAGAGAGCAGAGTAATTCTATTATTTGTTATACAAACATATTTTGTAGAATAATTATATTTTTCAACTGAAGGTTACAAGCTAGCAGTTGGAAAAGATTTTTTATTTGCCCTATCAAACTTTTTAAAAATAATTTAAT